ACTGCAAGGGTTGTCAAGCACTGGAACAGGCTGCCCAGGGAAGTGGTTGAGTCACCATCCCTGGAGGTATTTAAAATACATGTAGATGTGGTGCTTAGGAACATGAGTTTAGTGGTGGGTTTGGTAGTGCTAGGTTAATGGTTGGACCCATTGATCTTAAGGGTCTTTTCCAACCAAAATGATTCTATGATTCTAAACGGAATATTTGGAAACCCATCCACTACTGTACAATAGACATAAGATTTTTTTTTTTTGTGATGATAGGAAATTCATTTACTGCTTCAAGACTGAGCCATAAATTACAGCACAAAAAGTGATAGAAATATGGTCCACAAAAACACAAATTAAACATTTCAAGTTGTTTCCTGGATTCTGAATTTAGTTTTGAAATAGTATAGGTAAGTCAAGAGATCATCTCAATATTCTCACATCAATACAACTGAAACCATGCAATGTAATTATCTACTATTGAAATTTTGCAATAGTCCTGTAAGGTCCTTTTTGTTATTTTAACTTTTAGGAGCAACATTTTCTGAGAAAAAACATCTCTTCTTGTTCTACAGTTCCAACTTAAAGCACAACAAACCAACTGAACACTACCTTTGCTGAACTTCTTGCCTATGCTCTCAAAGGCAACTACTTGTTCCTACTTGATTATAAGATTTGTTTAAAAATATTTCATATTCACTATGAAATAAAACACTTTTAGATAAGGCATCTATTAATGAACACTTATGGCTTCAAACATTTCAACATACCATGTGCCTGTTACAATAAACAGGTTAGAAAGACGTCACAGAAAACGCAGTTACGTGTTGATATGAGCATTTCAAATCACCTCGGTTAAGGTTCAGCATGTAAATTAAAACATGAACTAAACCATGCCTCCAATCTGTACTGCGCAACTACAAAGGCGCCCTATGTTTTTTCACTTCTCTGGCTACTTTTGGCATGCTCAAGAATGAAACACAAGTTTCCTTTCCCACGAGGAAAACCAAAACCCCATAGAACTACCCAGACACCACACCGCTTAAGAGCTTCTGCATATTGCAAAGATGCAAGAACTAACCCAGAAATGTGCTCAGCCTAATGAGAATAAAGCAAAAATACAGCTCTCAGGGCTCCTGGATGGCAGTTTCTGCGATTTACTGTCCAGAGATACAGCTCAGTGTTTCACTCCACATAACTACTTTGTTACAAAGAACAAACTAGCAACTTGTAATCATGATGTCCAAAAAGCAGATGAAATGTAACAACATGCAGTCTTCAAATTTAGAAGTCATTCAGCTACTCTAAAAATGTTTTGGGTAAACTCTATGTTTACTACTGTCAGGCAACAGATGGAAGAGCTGAAGTGCTCTTGTTCTTAAAATCAGTTATGTCAAGAAAAATGTGATGGAGTGACAAAACAGTCCTGTTTCCAGATCAGTGGCCAAAGGACATGTCACAGTCAGACTCCAATAAATCTGACTGATACAGAGAAGTGACAGTATCACCACCCATGATCGGTTACTCTGGAAAGGAAGTATGCACATATTTTGAGATCTGAAATTTTTATATTCCCCTTTACAGCAAAAGTATGCAGCTCTGTCTGAAATCATTAAAAACAGAATTGTAAATTCAAACTGCTCAGTTTTATTTGGAATGCTTCCATATAAGCTTCCATATAAGCTAGTAGTAGTAACTACTACTAGCATTTATCCAATACAAGATAAAAATTACTGCTTCAAAATTAGGAAGCAACTTTAAATGACAATAATGATATCCCTTCACTCCTCTCCACAAAGTAATTGGTTTGCAAAATTCCAATGTAGCTATAGCAACAATGAAGATTAACTTACCTATTAGATCATCATTTGAATAATCCTCAGCTTGAACAGGTATTTCTGTAAGTCAAAAGTGTACAAACAATTCAAACTGGACAGTTCTATAAATATTTACAAAAAGCTGCATTTTCCCCCTTATGCTCAAAACGGTGACCGCTCTGTAATACTACTTTTGCAGAAGTGGGATGCAAATTTTACTCAGCTGAATTTTTCCAGGGGAAAGATTAATACTTAAGTAGACCAATGAGTAAATTGCAGGATTGTGTAGGTTCAGAAATGATACTTCAAAATTCTGAAACTCACTATCCAAAGCACAAGTCTCCCACAATTTCACAAGCTACTACAGTACAGGCTTAGAAAACGTTTATATACTTATGTTCCCAGCTGTAATTATGAAATACTTGACTTCAAAATTCAGTTCTTTTTAATTCCATATGTATGTTTAAATTGGACATGTCACATGTCACCAAGTGCTATTACTGCTAATAGACTGAAGGTTGCACATAGCTTCATAGCTCCCTATTCATGCATGGTGGCAGTCAGGCTCACCAGAAAAGAACTCATAATAGCTGGGATGCTGGCTGTAGACAGTAAGAAGAATCGAAAAGAGGGAAATATATCCTCTGACTTGGGAAGCCCATAAATAAAGTGCTCAAAGCTGGGGAGACATTCCACTTAATTTCTTACATATAATCCTCTTTCCTGAGTACACACTACTGACTGGCTCATGGGAAACAGCACACCAAATAAATCTGCAGCTTCATCTGACCTAATCTGGCCATTTTTATTGCTTTAAGTTTTTCTGAAGTGGGAGCACTCTCAGCTTCTGAAACTGAAGAGTGCTCTGTAAGCCATTAAAAACCCCAAGATGCTAGATTCCAACAACACAGTTATGTCTGTCCTTGAAAGAAAAAAGCTGTAGAAAAAGTTATGAATGTATTTTTATTGCAGCACAGAATTCTATTCCATGATATTTATCATTTTCTCTCTTTTAATTTAAGTAGCAAACTCATGCAAAAGATAATACACAAACCTAATTCCTCTGGTTCAGTGGCCACATCTTCTGTATGCTGAATTTCTATTGTGACAAAGAAAATAAGAGTTCAAAGTTACATGCAGTATGTTCACAATTTTGCTTTTATTCCCCCACCAGCCACCCAGACAAATTAGTATCAAAAAAAGGAAGACTTAAACTGCAGAACAACCAACTAGGTTAACTTTAAATACATTTGGTACCTTTTTTCTGCTTTTATGTCCAAAAGTTTAGCTCCTCTGTTATTGACTTCCATTGCTATTATGCACCCCAAAGCTATTTTGGTTACAACTGTTATTCATGTGAAACAATGTTTGTTTCCCCATATAATTATATTAGAACACCTTTTTCAAATGAAAAACCTAAGCATCAAATCCCACACACTGTGCTCAGACTAAATTGCTTACATCACTTTGCTCTAGCTGACTGAATTAACATCATGTTTGAAAAAAAATTCTTGCTTAATGATATTTTTAACTTCTTAGAGCAAATCTTCTCATTACATTTGACCCAGTACTCATTTAAAATTCCCTGACACTAGCACAATAAAAATTTACAACATAATCTTTTTAAGTAGTAATGTGAGAAATTATTATTGATTAATTAAATTCCATTCCTCAAATTGAAGCTCTAAGTACTTCATAAGAACATCATGAAGTCCAACAAAGCCAAGTGCAAGGTCCTCCACATGGATCAGGGCAATCCCCAATATCAATAAAGACTGGAGAACGAATGGATTGAGAGCAGCCCTGAGAAGGAGGACTTGGGGGTGTTGGTGGACAAGAAGCTCAACATGAGCCGGCAGTGTGCACTTGCAGCCCAGAAAGCCAACCGTATCCTGGGCTGCATCAAAAGAAGTGTGACCAGCAGGTCGAGGGAGGTGTTCCTGCCCCTCTGCTCTGCTCTTGTGAGACCCCTCCTGGAGTACTGCATCCAGCTCTGGGGGCCCCAGTACAGGAGAGACAGGGAGCTGTTGGAGCGAGTCCAGAGGAGGGTCACAAAGCTGATCGGAGGGCTGGAGCACCTCTCCTGTGAGGACAGGCTGAGAGAGTTGGGATTGTTCAGCCTGGAGGAGAGAAGCCCCCAGGAAGACCTTATAGCAGCCTTCCAGTACCTGAAGGGAGCCTACAAGAATGCTGGAGAGGGACTGTTCACACAGGCATGTAGTGACAGGACAAGGGGTAATGACTTTAAACTGAAGGAGGGTGGATTTAAAGTAGATATTAGGAAGAAATTCTTCACTATGAGCATGGTAAGACACTTGAACAGGGGCGTTGGGACAGATTATCTTTAAAGGTCCCTTCCAATTCAAACCATTCTATGATTCTAAATAGCACATTTCTCTGCTTCGTTTTATGTTTGGTTTTTAATTACATTAACAAATACAAATGAAAGAAAAAATGCTTTATTTCACAAACTACAAAAAAACATACCTAATGGCTCTTTATCAATATCAAAATCTTCAATAATTTCATCTATAAGAGAAAGTATAAGAAAAAAGTATATAATGAGGTTTTTTTGTTTTTTTTTCATGAGATTTCAAAATGCAAGTATTTCATCAAAACACTTTAAGATCACTATTAGAAAATATATATAGAAAATATATACCTGGTTCCGTGGCTTCATTCACCTCCTCTGGAAGGTCCTCAACAGCTAATGAAAGATTCAATTCAGAACAATAATGAAGTCAAATCCTCAACAGATGAAACTTGCATACAACACAGAAGAACATAGCTAGCACACAGATATGTTTAACTGTGAACTGTACATTGCTATAAACCAAGAGGAACTTTGAGGAATTATTGAATTTTCTTCCCTGTTTCACTAAAGAACTGCTGTATTTATTAGGTAAATATTTCAAAATTGTACCTTCTGGTGTTTGGATTGAGACACAGTAACTTTAAAAAATGAAATTTTAAAAACAGTCCTTAATTTTTCTAAGCATAATCAGTACTCCCACTTTCATCTTTTGCACCAATAACTCCGTTCTCTAAACATATTAAAAAAATCAAACAAAAACCTACAAACTTCTACTTTTTAAAGTCTTTTTATTTGGATAAGCATGCACTTCCTTCATGGATCCTACTTTCCTTCCTGAAGACAACAAGCAAGTTCAACTGAAATTATGGATTCTACAGAAAAATAAATTATTCATATTTGAATATGGGACCTTTTAACTCATTTGACCGTCCTCTTAAGCTTATGATCACAATGGTGACTAAACAGATACTTGCAATTCATTTACACTACAGAATTACTTGACTTCATTCTAAACTAAACAATTGTGTCTTTTCCAATCAGCTGTCTGAGATGACTCTCAAAAGAGCTGGTATTTCATGACAACAAAGTATATGGGACCCAGAGAGAGAACTGCAGACAAATAATTTTTTAATTGCTTCTGCTAATTAGAAAAAGGCACTAGCACACAGTATGCACCAAAGCAGAGCTAGTATTGACAGCCTGTAAATTTTGAATGATGTTAAGCACCGGTTACAAGGTTATGAGCAAGGCTCAAGGCAGGCAGCAAGTTGAGTGTCTATGCTGAACTACTGTTCCGAATGTCCACATGTCCAAAAAAGCCTCACATGCTCCACTTTGTGTCACTTGAGACCCCAGGTGACTTGAGACTTTAAAGATGAATCCTCAATGGTGGTTATGTTAAAAGAAAGTGTCTCAGTTCATAGTCAAAAGCCTAACTTTATAGGTATACAGACTATAACATACATTCTTCTTCAGCCTAGAGAAGAGAAGGCTCCAGGGAGATCTAATTGCAGCTTTCCAGTACCCGAAGGGGCCTACAGGAAAGATGGTGAGGGACTGTTTATCAGGGAGTGTAGTGACAGAACAAGGGGTAATGGGTTCAAGCTGAAGGAGGGTCGATTTAGATTAGATATTAGGAAGAAATTCTTTACTGTGAGGGTGGTGAGGCACTGGAACAGGTTGCCCAGAGAGGTTGTGGAAGCCCCATCCCTGGAAGTGTTCAAGGCCAGGTGGGACGAGGCTTGGGGCAACGTGGTATAGTGGAGGGTGTCCCTGCCTGCAGCAGGGGAGTTGGAACCAGATGATCTTTGAGGTCCCTTCCAACTCAAACCATTCCGTGATTCTATGATTTGCCATAATTGGCAATATATCGTGATTGAAGATCACACAGATCACATATTTCTATATATATAAATAGCAAGATTAAGTTAGTAATTTTTATGCCAAATTTATTAAAATATTTTTCTGGTTTTGCATATCATTTATATTCCAATAATATTTATTTTAGATGTATTTCTACTGTAATTACATATGAAAGAAAGATTTTCTAATATGCTCTGTATATATCAATATATATATACATTGGGGAAACTGCATGAGAGTGTACACATACCCCACTCATGTGCATGCACACACACACATATATATACGTATGTATATACCTGTATCTTGAATCTCAGCCTGCTTTTCATGTTTTGGTTCTGAAAGGAAAGAAAAATAAAGTTCCTGGGTGGTTGATATGCACGGAGTATCCAAAAATTTGGTTGTTAGGCATCCAGATCATTTCTTTACTGATAAATGGAAAGCTCTCAAAGATTTTCTCTAGTTTTGGGCCCTGGCCTGTAGTAGAAATTCTACACATAAACCAAATACCAGATGTGAACCTAATGCTGAAATTTCAAGCATTTCTGTCTACACAGATGAAATACTGAAAACAATGACAGTAAAGCTATCATTCTGTAAATTGTTACAATTCACCTACACTCCTAATCTTTGAGTAAAGAGGCACTCTAATTTTTGTAACTCTGAAGAAACAGGTTAAGAATATTCATTATTTTACTTTAGATCATGTCTGAAAATACACAAATGCTATCCATTAATTGTCTGAACTGTCAATATACATTTATTGTGAATTTTAGAACTAAAGAAGTTCAATGTTCATCCAGTGTTTTGGATAATTTCATTATCTTAACAAGTACTAACTCTCATCTGAAAAAGGTGATTTCCTTAACATTTTTTAGAAAGAAAATCTTTTTATTATTAAGTGTTTTATCTTAAAAGGCACTAATAGTCACTTGGCTCCCCCTCCATCCCTTTAAAAAAAATGTTCTTACAGTATATTCATAAAAAAAAACGGAACTCTTCATTTCTAATGAAAAATCTCAAACTTGCCTTTTTTCTCTAGTTGCATTGCTATTAAGTGCATAAAACTCTTCACAGAACTACCAAAAGCTGTGTACAATAACCGAGTTCCTGTATTCTGAGTTACACAATCGATCCACTTACACACTTCACTGTGGGCACATACACTCATTTCAACTAAAGAATTTTTAGCATTAGCAATTAATGGCAGAAGGTATGAAGAAACGGTTCCTTTCAGTATGCTAGACACACAAAGCAGGTGCATCCTACCATAGGCCTTCAGTTTCTCCCAATCCCATGCAAGTTAGAAGGGATTACAGGAACTGCAATCCTATCCAAGTTGGTCGCTGATCTTAATTAAGAATTAAGTCATACAAAGCAAGAGTCAAAAAGGAAATTGAACTGCTCTGGCCAACAATCATCTTGGCACTGCCCTCTCAGCTTTCTGAGAATTCTAGAAAGCACCAGGATTGAAGAAAATATTACATCAGAGGGTCTGCCAGAAGAGGGGAAACACATCTAACAGAGATGGAGAAGATACACTGACTCTAGAATAGAGAAACTTATACTTCTGCTGATTTCTCAGACATCAGCATCTGAAGCTTTAAGGTGAATCTTCTTCTGGATGTGAACTGCAGTTTTAAAGTTAACGTCAAAACCACAAGCTTTACATTTGAGAGAAATGTATCTCCATGATGGCCTCCTTCCCTTCTTTGACTTCAGAAAACGTGCTAAAAGCTCTTCTCCAGAAAAAGAGCAAATTTGTTTTATTTTCAATCCAACCAAAAGCATGTCGAAAGATACAAGAAAGATGAACCAGGTGACAGCAGGGATGAAACCAGGTACCACAACTGCTAAGATGATGTCTAGCACACATTCACAAACAATTACAACTCCCATGCCCTGAAACTGGATAGACTGAAGTCAGAGGGAAAAAATGGTGTGTCACAGAAAGACAGCCTCACATCTATCTTCAGAGGCATCCATGGTTGGCTGGTTAGCTCGAACCTTAAAGGGCTGACAACATAAGATGAGCTTATAGGACTGAGTGCGATTAGACTGTCTTCCCTAGTGGTGTGTCTCGTCTTTTCTAGGGATCCAGAGAGCAATTTCTGATTATTTTTCTCTGGTTATTTCTGAGACACTGACGAGTGCCTGGAAATAAGGATGCCTGTACACAGGTCTGCCCTTGGAACAAACTGAAATTCCAAATAACTTTGTAACTTCGTGTAACTTTCAAGATGGGAAGGTAGGGATAAAAAAAATAAAAAAAATCAATCAAGTCTTGCAAATGCCAAGAACACTCAATGCTCACCTGATTGGTCTTTTTCTTCTACATTGCTCCAGGCTGGAGCTCTCAAATGAAATTCTTCTAAAAAGTACAACGGAAGCACTGTGCTTTCTCTCATAACCAGAATGTCTTGAAGAGAGAACTTCGAAGCAAAGCAAAATTGTGCCATGAAAAGGTGAACTTTTCAAGCAAAAAGCAGTTTGTCATGGATTATGTTGAACTACAGGCATAATTTGCTGCATAAAAAAGCCTGGCAATTTAGTAGCTAGTAGCCAATAATAATAATGTTCTGACAATCACCTCCTACCTTGGAATTTCCTTTCGAGAAAAAGAATGGAACTTCCAACTCTCTTTATCAACCTAATCAGAGGATTTGGAATAGTAAAGAAAGAGTAAAAAAACCCCTCAAACTGATTTATCTGATACTATTTAAAACTTCATTGCAGCACACAGTAGCAATTGCACATGAAACCACTGCTTGCTGAAGCACATGAACTGCTCACAAAATGGAGTGATTCACTGTTAGTGTGCTGGGGCCAGAAGAGATCGCAGAATATGAAATGGTTTTGGAACTGATTCTATGGAAAACTGATGCAAATTAGTTTGGGAACATCCACAATCATCTTACTCCAAAAGCAGGTATAGATGACTCTTCCTGAGGGCAGGGACCATGGAAGCATTCTCAGTTCATGTCACCGCTACATATGAAGGAACACGGAAAGTAAAGAATAAAAGTTGTACTTCTCCTTCATATCTAGATGTGAGAAGCAAGAGAAGTGATTCTTGATTAGGAACTGATTGTAAAATAAGTATCTCCTGGAAAGGAGAGTAAACAATAAGCCCAGGGAAAAAGCTATGTCTCTCTTGCTCTTCCATCCTATTGATGCTGACATGTTTTGTCAAGGGCATCATAGCTGAGGCAAAAAATCTTCTGCAGACTGAGGAAGACATGGACTAAGGGCTGAATACACCTTTGGGCCACTGAAAGCTCTTCAATGGTATTTTGACTTCTATCCCAAAGGTGGATGTCAGAATTTCCCTCCTGATGACAAAGAATGAACCTCAAGGTAGTCTGTCTCAAATATTTTGCAGTTAGGAACTTCTGTCCTTTGCTCAAGTTACATAAACACAGACAATAAACAAGAGCGCTTCAAAGTTATGCTTAACTTTTCTGAAGTATGGTAGTCCCCAGTAGGATCTCACAGAAGGAATCACAACCACATACCCTTGTTTCAAGACTGACCACTAGTCGACTTCTCATTTACTTTTTGATTTGGTCTTAGCGTTCATTAGCAAATCATTAACAAAATCAAACTAAAACTGAGGACTCTCCAAAGAACTGGTAGTTATGGATGAGATGAAAAGGTAACACTGAACTATATAGACGCAATGAACTACAGTTGACGTGGCCAGGGTTTCATAAGAAAAAGGGCATACAAAGTCTTCAACATTCTTACTCCACATATGCACAAAGTGTGACAAAGACTACCAAGATGGAAATATAACCTATATACATAGTCTACACTTGCTCCAGTGTTAAAGATCTGTTGATTGCTTACATATACAGGGGGTTTGAAGATTAAAAAAAAATCCAAACCCTTAACTGAGAACTTGCAAAGCAATGTGACAGCACAGAAAACTTTAAGACAAAGAAATTTCACTTTCATATTAATCAAAGACTTCGATACTGTCATTTCACTAAATATTGCAGTTGTCATACCATGTTCTTCATTATAATCACCATGCACTCTATCCTCTGTTAAAAAAAAAATCAATATGAAAATTAATGTAATTTTAAGACAATAAATACACACAATTAATACAGTGTCAAGTTTATTCAGAACAAAAAAGATATTAAAAACTATAGTATTTTCTACTGTATTAAAGTTAATAAGAGTTCAACCAAGGTTAAGATTTCTAAAAGATCCTGTTAGAAGAACTGAATCATTTTCTGGCATCACAAGATAGACTTAAAGATAAAGCACTATCAGTAGTCTTTTCTTATACAGTACAGGAAGTCATCTACAAATTACCTAAAATTCAGAACAGAAATACTCATAAATCATTTCTATATACAGCAAACTTCTACAGTTAAATTTTGGAATCCGCTTGTTATAGCTTCCCTACTTTTTAAAAAAAAACTTTTTTAAAAGCTACTACTTTTTTCCTGACACTTAGCACACAAACTTCAACATCTTTGGCAAATTCAAATTATTTTTTATCCACAGAAACACTTCTATGCAATTTAAAATACAAATATCCATTCTCCTGGAAATTTAGCCCTCAAAATGTTATTCTACTTATTTTCCTGACATTACAGAAAAGTAGTATTCATTTAGGTCTTCATATTTTTTTCAGAATATAAATAAAAAAAATATAGATGTAATAACTTACTACGGAACTGATGCTATCCATGAGTTCCAATATTTTGAGGGTTTTTTTGAGGGGGTGGGGTTTTGTTGTTGGTTTGGGGGGGGTTTTTTGGCTTGGTTTGGGGCCAAAATTCAATGAAACTTGAATAAAAAGAAGACTTTGGACTGTACCTGCGTAATGTTCCACAGCATCTTCTAGCATTAGCTCAGAGTCATCTTAAATAAAGAATATTTATTATTTTATATTCTAATCAAATTTTCATGCAACAGCTAAATAGCACAAGAGAAGTTAAAAACATCTTATATTTAGTTCAAGAATAACAGAATTCAACATACTGAGTTAATACTACAATGTTTTATTTCAAACTGACAGCTGGATTGTAAAACACAACCAGGAGCTACACCGTAAGTCACACAATATAGTAAGTTCATGCATATTTGTATTTAGGCTTAAAATTAGGACTACAAATAGGTCTTTGAAAATCCATTGATTAGATTGGAAGACTCCTGATGGAACAAGATGTTTATACAAGTTTTGGATTCATGGACCATTGTGTTCATGAATGTAATGGTAACACAGCTGTAAAAATCTGGCTTACTTGAAACTACCCAAAAAACTACTTGAAAATAAAACTGTGATGAAACAGTCAATATGACAAATTACTTTGAAGCATGTTGAAAAAAGTATAAGTGATTATATTATAATCTGAAGTCATGAAAATTTACAAACCTGGAGCTTCTGGATCACTTACTGTCTTTTCCACATCCATATCATAGTCATATGAAACTGCAAATTAAACATGAAAAATAAACATTTTTGAAAATAAATTATTTTATATTTTTAATATTCAATTATTTTAACTTGCATCCATCTTGTCAATAGCTAAATGCAGCTCCTTAGTTGAAAACTGACAAATTAAAACCTTACAGACACTCGCAACTTGACACATGGCAATCTAATGGAAGGTGTTGGGCCACTCACTCTTCTAGTCCTGTTATATTCTCTGTATGAAAACTAGATCTACGAGATCCATTAGTCTTTATCAGAATTTTTAATAGTTCTTCTAATATGAATAAAAAGTGTAATCTTCCCCTATCCTCAAACTTTTAAAGTAGCTTCTTTAGTAAAGTGCAGGAGGACCACTGGTGATGATCTACAGAAGACAAGAGCCAGAAATGAGACCTTTGGAAATATGTACATCACAGATTTAGAGCAATTTACTTTTTTTCATTGCCTAGCTAAATATGTGGATTATTTTCCTCTGTGACTACAATTCCTTGTGATGTTATTAATATATTCAGTATGACATATCAGACAACACATGGTACTGAAGGTAAAGCAACTATCCTTTTACTTTGGAAGCATCACAGTTTGGATTCTAAGTCAGTAACTGGAAAACAGTAATCTCCCAGAAAGACAGGAATAAGCAGATTTAGCTGTATTAAACACAAAAAAATATTTTTCTGTCATATTTGGCATCAAACAGGACTGTAAAGTCCAGAACTAACATTGAGCCAAAGATAAGAAGTCTCATCCAAACAGAAATTGATGTCTAAAGTAAGTGGAAGAAGCTGCCTGTACTATAAACAAGCATTATTATCATCCAGAAGAAAATACTTATCAGATAGCAAGGATATCGTAATATCTACCTAATGTTTCTTCATAATGGGAAAGATGAGCTAATGCCACTGTACGTGATATCAAGCACCATATGAAGATGACTACAAGGTAATTAGATTAGTCCAGGTAAAATTTCAAAAAGCTTTAAAGATGAATTAGGGTGTGCAGAAAGACAGTGCAAGGATAGTTGAGAATGAAGTACTTGGTGCTGACTCACTCTCCAATAGTATAATCGGCCATAAAGAAACAAAGACTCCTGAAGGAAAAGTTACAAACTGGATGTTTCTGAAAGGTGGCAGGTTCCATGTAAGTTTCCGACTAATGCCAAGCATAATAGCCTAGAAGAATCTTAGCATTGTAGACTGTAAGAAGATAGTAATATAAGCAATAAATATCATTCTCACTTTCTTAGACTGTACAACCACAGATCTCTTGCCTATCCAGATGCCAATCATACACAACAGTCAGAAACACACAGAAAAGTAAAAATGAACTTTATGCACCAATGAAAGCAAAGGTTCCATACCTATCTTCTGTTCTTTTTAAGAACCATTTGCAATAGCAGATATGATAGAGTCATCTCAGTCGAAGTAAAAACATCCAAGACAATCAAGAACAGTTGTTTGGAGGAAAAGAAGATTCAAAATTATATATTCCTAAACCAGTCTAACCTTTTCTGTTTTACTTTCTCATGTAGTTTGGCACACTTAGGCAGAAAACCAATATTACTGAGTTTGAAAAAACAAAGTTATACCTGGAGCTTCATATGGTTCAGGCTCTATTGCTTCAAGATCATCTGCCAAAAGATCAGCATCTGAGAAACAAACATGTATTTACAAATTTTAAATATTTAGATCAATAAACCATACTGCAAACCCTAGAACAGAATATTATGTAAGAACAGAGTGAAATTTCTAAGCATAAATTCTAAGCAAGTTTCTTCTAATGCTAGCGAGATCGAAAGAAAAAAATTTATAGTTTTATTCTTATATACAATGAGAATGTGTATACACACATAAACTCTATGCACATTTGCTCAAAAAAGATGACTCTCCACAGAAATTTCTGTGTAAATGTGAAGAAAGAAGAATATATGCACTTTGCCTTATTAATAGTAATTTTAAAAATTTAAAAGTAACTGGAATTTTAATTTCTCCTCTATTGCCCTACTTTAACTCACACTGTGGATGAATAAAAAAGATCCAAAACCAAGGAAGTATAATAGACTCAGACTGAAAAGAATTACTTCAGTTGTGAAGAAAGTCTTCCAGCAACCTAAACTTTTAGATGGCATCCATTACATGAGTTTTTCAAAAAGAGGTATTAAGATATATGTAACATTTTCAGTAGTGCAGACAAAAAAGCATTCAGAAATATTTTTACCTAAGTTGAATTTAGATCATACGATTCTGTTTTAATATTTTGATTACAAACAATTTTTATCATCCTGTCAATGTCCCAAGGCAGCAGGATATGAGTATTTTCTTTAGATGTTATGTTCTCAGCAGGACTTGCAATATAGTTCATGCATAACATTCTCAGAGAGCCACATTAGAAGGAGAGTGAGAATAAGTCTGCCTACAAAAGGCTGTGCTAATAAACTCTTAAAATTTAGTTTAATAAACTAGAAAGTCCAGAAGCAGACTCCATACAGATATTATAGAAGTTGCCGGGGGAGATATGCATACCTGGAGCACAGATTAACTTGTTTGGTTGAAAGCCAATATAGCAATAACTAAACAATAATATATAGTTACCTGGATTCCAAAACACATGGTATTAAAATACGGCATTTTGATTTAAAAAAAAAATAATATTTATTTGCTAAATAATACTTGCTGTGGTTGACATTTGCTAAGTGTCTACAGCAAGTAAAAATCACAAGTCAAGTTTTTCAGCCTGGAGAAGAGAAGGCTCCAGGGAGACCTTATAGCAGCCTTCCGCTACCTAAAGGGGCCTACAGGAAAGCTGGAGAGGGACTGTTTACAAGGGCATGTAGTGATAGGACAAGGGGGAATGGGTTTAAACTAAAGAGGGTAGATTTAGATTTGATATAAGGAATAAATTCTTCACTGTGAGGGTGGTTAGACACTGGAACAGGTTGCCCAGAGAAGCTGGGGATGACCCCTCCCTGGAAGTGTTCAAGGCCAGGTTGGATGGGAGTTTGGGCAACCTGGTCTAGTGGAGGGTGTCCCTGCCCAAGGCAGGGGGATGGAACCAGATGATCTTTAAGGTCCCTTCTAACCCAAACCATGCTATGTTTCTGTGATTGTAATGAGACATATTCCCATTATGTGTGTTCTTATTTTTGGCAAAATTTAATTTTAAATATATTTAGTCATTTAGATACCTTTCTGAACTGAGGCTGGTGTCTCATATGCTTCTGGCATTTCATTCTCTAATTCTCTCAGCAAGTCATCAGTTGTAGGAACTTCCAATGTTTCTCCATGTATTTCTTCCTTAACTTGCCACTGGTCATTGAGACTTTCAACTATATCTTCATGTCTTTCTCCTAATCAATAATACAGATTGTTAGAGAATACATACTCTGGTAAATTCTATTACCAGCAGTATTCTGCCTCCAGCACACCCTTCATTTTTTTCAACTAGTCCCCCAAAGTCAGTGAGGACAAATGACATGTCTGCACCTTCCAGCAGTATAAACCCAAACAAAGTATCTGCACTGACTTGCCAAGTGCTGTCCTTGCCCACAGTGAAAGCCATCTGTTTACCCATTCTTGCACTCTACACATTATTTTGAGGATGCTTTTGTCAACTGACTGATATGAGCTACTGTTGCCAAACACGTCTGGTTAAGAGGCCACAGTTTCAGGATTTGGTGACTGAACTTTCTGAATTTTCTTGAAAATTACAAAATAGCTGATTAGAATGTTTTGTGCAGTACTTTAAGTGCACACCAAAACCAGACTCTGAGATTCGTCTAGCCTATGCAAGTATTTATAAATTCTTCAGTGATTTCTAAGTGTTAATGCATTACCAGGCTGGGAATGGAGAGCTTCATGAAGAACAGACTGAATTTCCTCTTCCAATTCTACGTCAGTGTACTTGTGCTCTAAAAGGATTATAAATTGCAGCGAAGGTAAGTGCAAAAGGCAAATTCTAAACATTAGCTCAAGGCTCACAGCTTTTAGTAGCCTTCATAAAGTTCCACAGAGATTGACTTAGTTCACCTCTGCAACTCACACAATTACAAAAACAATTTGTTTCTTCTTACTCTCCAGTATGGAAAGTATTGGATCAATCACATCAGTTTCATTCTCAAGATGAATTGGAAGAATATATCTACAGTGCATTTTCTGCATGTATATTTTTCTCAGTGGCTGTAACATTAATAACTTGAGATAACTATTCAAACCAAGAATTCTTTCCTAAGTAATTATGTCACTAACACCTTCATCCATTACTTTCCTACAATACAGGCAGCAGCACTAACATGTCATATTTGACAACAAAATGTCACTTGCAGAAGTAGGGTTTTGTTTGGCTTAATAAACAGGGAAAATAGATATTAACATTATAGGAGATATTAACACTATCCTGGCAGTTCATAGAAGAATAAATCACAAACTGATTTCAGGGACAAGTGATTGTCATCTAACACACGAGCCCAGGACACAATAGGAATTCGTATGTAGTGTGGCCTTCATATAAATGTCCTGAAATTAACATTGAGAAACCCAACAGTGCAAAATCAAATCACAGCTGCATTTTTCAAATAAAGATCCACAATGGTACCAGTTATGGGAAAAAAACCCAACAAAAACCAAAAACACAACACAAACCAAAAAAACCCCGACATCTTATCTTGATATATTTTATAAATGATAACTTAAGACAAGTAATACAAGTCTTTTAAAACAAATTCTATACTCCATTTTACTGATCATATGCTCCACATTTGTGGGTTATTGTGTTAGGTTCACATAAACATCAAGTAGGATAAGCCTCTTCAAGGAACAGGAAAAAGATACGTACTCTCTGAACAACACTACAATGCAAATCACAGACCTGAAATCTGACGTGTAAAAATATTTTTTTCTTTAATTTCTCTTAAACCCAATAAATTTTACTAATACTATGGGGAATTTAAAATGTTTAAATTACTTTTTTCAACAATAGAAGCTGTATTTATTGTATTTACGATACACTAGGTTTTACTGAAGAAGTATTCGATTAATCTTATGAAATTGGTTGTTGGGTTTGGGTTTTTTTGTTTGGTTGGTTTTGTTTAAGGTGGAGAATCTGCTATTATTCTGACTGGGTATACTGTTGCATACATATGAAAACCAGAAAGTTATTCTGATGTGATATGGTTCCAATGGTAACCATGAGAGCTGACAAGAGTGCCTTCCATATATTTACATGATAAACTTTTCATGGCCAGTGAGTTATCTAAAGTTATCAACAGTGTTTCCCATTAAATAATGTTTAGTGGATAAGCAACACAAAAATCCATGAAAGATTTATTTTTCTACCCAAAGAAATAACACAATGAGTTTGCATCCTAAGGAAACAGAACTAGAATTCAAACGAAGCACCATGACTTTTGTTTCAGCTACAGTTTACCAAAGGCCTTACCTGATTCAACATACGACTTCTCAGCAGGCTGGATGGTCTCCTCAGATTCTGGTGATGTTGGCTGTGCTGGGACAGATCTTTCTTTAAGGCCTGCATTTTTCAGTTATAAAGTTAACTTTTTGCTCTTTTTGCTCTGATTCAATTATACATTAATAAAGTTGTTTTAATTAAAATTAACTGATGTTAAACTCTCCAAAATGTATTCAAACAATCACAATTACAGGGCTGTCCTGATATACAGTGATATATACAAAAGCTAAAGTGTATTTGGATAGTAAACAACTATATTTTGAAGACAAACATACAATGAGGGGGAAAAAAAAGACACAGAAATTTAAGCAGTTGCCTTTATTTAAAAGTATCTGAACAAATGACTATGCTTATTCTATACATCTATTCAGCATCCAGAAGAAAAAACAGACAGCAGGTTTTTCCCTCACTCTTTGTGTCTTTGGGCAAAAAGTGCTTAATATGATCTATTTTACAGGTTTTATGAAGAACTACTTTGAAACTTATAAGATGATGCTCAGAATGAGAAGAGGTACTTTGAATTCATATGTTAAATATTAGAAGATCTGATGAAGAGAACTGTAGTTTCTTCAAAATGAGGTAATCTCAATCTCCAGTGTCTTTTGACAACTAAATTACTACGGAAAAAGTATGACTGACAGAATTTCACCATGAAGATGCTTACTATCTACACCACAGAGTCTTTCTAGATCAAAACACAAAGCAAAGAAAGCAACCAATAACAGCAATGATCAACACCATAGTAAGAGACAAAGATAATTCATAGCCTTGAAAGATTATGCCACATCTTAAGACACCACATCCTCAAGAAAGAATGTATCGGTATTAGCCTAATCCTCCTCTCAACTATCCTTTAGGAAGGATTCAAGCAAGACTTAAACAAGAGAGGTTCAGACTGGGTAGAAGAAAAAGAATTCTACACACACCCCCCCACACACCCAGGAGGATAAACAAACCAATGGAAAAGGCTACACAGAGTGGTTGTGCATTCCCATCTTTGGAGGTTTTAAAGACCACACTGGATAACGGTCAGTGTAACCCGGTCATAGCTCTAAGATAACCCTATTTTGAGCAGGATGTCAGAATAAGGATCTACTGAAGTCCCTTGCAAACAGAATTCTCCTACAATCCTATGTCATTTTTCCTGGGTTCGTATTTGAGTTCCAAGGCCAGTTAAGATAAAACTACATTCTTAAATAAACACACATGCACGCTGTCCAAAACAAACTAGTTTCTCAAGAGCTGTATACACAGAAATCAATAGAAAAAATAATATTTAAGAAAGCAGAGGCTACACTGTGAGGAACACGTCTGTACTGCTAGCAATCTTGTAAAAGTAACTTCAAGTGGAACAATGTAAGTATCATATTTCAAGGCAATAAAGTTGTAAAAATAGCAATTATTAGGTTTCTACTGGAGTCAAACATATCTCAATACCAATAGGACTAGTAAGCCTCAAAACAACTTTGCGTGAGTTAGACTGATTTTATTATTTTATGCATCGTGAGAAAAACATATATTAATGCCATTACCCTATATAAATAATGAGAATGGGAAAAACAGAATTAATCCTACTTACACATTTTTATATTATTTAAATTACATGAAGATAAGTAGCTTGGCTATCTCTAAATTACTCTAACTAGAGTTCACTACTAAGGACTCAAGATCAGAAGGTAGAGCAAAAAAGTCAAACTTACACTTCATTTTTTGCCAATTTTCTTCTGCATCACAAAAACCCCCACTGAAATATTAAGAATTAAGACTTACATTCATCTTTTGCTGCAGTAATATTAATGGCTACAAGAATAAGAAGTTACTTCCTTCTACAGTCATCTTTAACTACATATGGAGATAAAACCAGCTACTTATATTAGCCACTGTCTCACACTTCAGATTCTGGAAGACAACCACTTGCTCTGCTTCGTGAAGAATAAGCGGATTCAAAGTATTTAAAACAATATTCAATATTTCACAGCCAACAAATATTTGGGACATGTAAAAGGAAAGAAAAGACTAGCAGTATTTCTTTGTTTTGCTCGCACATTTCTTAGTTTTGCTTTTAAGCGTTTTATACACATCTATCATGGTTATCACAGATTCCGGTTCAATCCTGTTGAGTATGTAATAGTTTAAGTCATTTACTTGTTGCAAGATAATATTTTCTCTCATCTTTTTATAAAAATAAAGCTACACTCCATTTTTACTTGTGTGGTGCACTTTTTTGAGCTTATGTGGTAACTTGCCATGTTAAGTTGAATGACAATAATATTTCATAGAGATACACAACAGCATAAAAGATCTCTGGGGCAAAAATCTCATTTTATTGTTTGGCTATCTGTATAACTTGGAGTGATGCTCAAATAAAACATTCTTTGGAAAAAAATAAAACCAAAACTTTTTTAGAACCAGATAAACTTTGGGTCATAGACACAATATGTTAATCAAAAAGGCAACTGATTCCAAATTTCACTCCCAGACAGTTACAACTTCTGTTACATTAGAGGAGAAAATAAAAAGTGATACGCACCATACCACTCTGCCACCATTCTTGAGAAGTGATTTGAGGACTCCCCTATCAAATATACATCTTAATGCCTATCACAGTAAAAATGAATAAACATATCTATCATCACCCAAACCTGAAAGAGAACGCTCATTATGTAAATGCATTTTAGATCTTCATTCTGTCAAGTTTTTTGCTAAGCACTATAATGTTCATAACAGACACATCTTTTCCCTCCTTCTTCAAGCATATATAAATATTTACAAAATAGCTTGGTATATTATCTCTGTTAATTATCACAGCTAGAATCTTAAGCTACTACACTACTTTCTATGGCTTTCATTTGAAGTATTTTTCTTAAGCTTCCTCTAAAAAAAAAAATTCTGGTTATATCTTATCCTATTACCACGTCTTCTACCTCTAGGGATCAAAGTATCTTACAGAAATGCGTATGTGCTGTACTGAAAGTCCAAGATAAGTGTATTGCCAATTGTTATACAAAAAAAAAATTAAGTAAACAGATTCAACCTTCAGGACTTTAATCTTACACCACTACTCACGTGCATATACTCATACTCAATTTCACTCCCTAGTTTTGTTTTCTTTAAAACAACACTGCAGTATTACAATACTAAATATTCAATTTTCATTAAAAATTTTGTTCTGAATCTTCTGTAATTTTATTGTGCAATTAATATTTCAACATACAAAGTGATACTATTTGTCTAGTAAAATTAGAAAATATTCCTTTTCCACATAAACTTGAACGCAAGTATAGATTCAATAACATACTGAAATATCTCTGAAGAAGTGTTCTATAACTTTGTTTATTGTAATGAGATCGCTGGATAAATGGTAATATATGTTTGCTGACAACACCAAGCTGCATGGCGCAGTCGACATGCTGGAGGGAAGGGATGACATCCAGAGGGACCTTGACAGGTTTCAGAGGTGGGCCTGTGCAAACCTCATGAAGTTCAACAAGGCCAAGTGCAAGGTCCTCCACATGGATCAGGGCAATCCCAAGCACAACTACAGGCTGGATGGAGAATGGATTGAAAGCAGCCCTGAGGAGGAGGACTTGGGGGTTTTGGTTGATGAAAAGCTCAGCATGACCTGGCAATGCATACCTGCAGCCCAGGAAGCCAACCATATCCTGGACTGCATCAAAAGAAGCGTGACCAGCAAGTCAAAGGAGAGGATTCTGCCCATCTACCCTGCTCTCGTGAGACCCCACCTGGAGTACTGAATCCAGCCCTGGGGTCCCCAGTACAAGACAGACATGTGCAGAGAAGACAATCAGAGGGCTGGCGCACCTCTCCTATGAGGACAGGCTGAGAGAGTTGGGGTTGTTCAGCCTGAAGAAGAGAAGGCTCCAGGGAGACCCTAGAGCAGCCTTCCACTACCTGAAGGGGGCCTACAAGAAAGCTGGAGAGGGACTGTTTACAAGGGCATCTAGTGACAGGACAAGGGGTAATGGGTTTAAGCTGAAGGAAGGTAGTTTTAGATTAGATATTAGGAAGCAATGCTTTACTGTGAGGGTGGCAAGACACTGGAGCAGGCTACCCGGAAAGGTTCTGGAGGCCCCATCCCTGGAAGTGTTCAAGGCCAGGCTGGATGGGGCTTTGAGCAACCTGGTCTGGTGGAGGGTATCCCTGCCTGTGGCAGGGGGGGTGGAACTAGATGATCTTTAAGGTTGCTTCCAACCCAGGCTATTCTACAATATGATTTTATGATAAATCATTCCTTGGTGCTAAAAATACAGAAGATGTAACAGCAAACTAACACAGGAGCTTGCTTACATACTATCACATACTTGAAAAGTGTTGCTTGAAGAAAATAATAGTTGCAAAAATACATAAGCTGTTCTCTAAAAGTTCAACCAGAATATAGTAGTAGTAGCAGCATACCACTTCTTAAAATGTGATTGGAATCCAACAACACCCATCAATGGTGAAATAGGTGGCCTAATTTTCAGAAGTATTCATTGCCAGAAGCTTGGAAAACTTGGATAAAAATCAGGACACAGTAAACTGAAAAGTGAACAACTAATCACGTTTTCAGAAGGTAGCACAGAAAGACAGACAGACAAGCAGAACACTGTCACAGGATCAATAAACAAAAGTATTGTAACGCTTTGGTTGAGTATACACTGAAGTCTCATAAATAAACGCAACACATCAGTTCGCGTATTTGTGTATAAAATAGTTTCCTCTGTCTACTTAGGGAAAAAAGTTTAGCAGAGAATAATTTACATTTATTTCCTAAGTTCCTATGACAATATGTTCCATTAATGCTCCTCTTCGTTGTTTTTGTTTTGAAACTCACAGAAATATTTTCTTGTGAGTTTCCACTACGTGTCCAGATAATAGTCTTAATATTGCTTGCAAACTTGTATTTGATATACAACATTACACTTTCATTCCAACGTCAAGAAAATAGCTTTTTAGTACAAGGAAACAAAGAGAGGGAAAAAAAATCCCACCAGATTCAGAGTATACTTGAAGTAATTGGCATCAATTTGACATTTCTGTTTTCAATGCACATTGTTAGC